GCACCGGGGTATCAAAGGCATGGTGGTGGACAGATTTGGAAAGCCGGTCAAGAACGCCCGCATCCTCGTCAGAGGCATCCGCCACGACATCACCCCAGGTGAGCACTGTGGGCTGCATCCCGGACCACGTCTGCTGACATCACAGTATCACCATAGAGGGTGGAGGGGCTGGAGTCACCCTCAACCTCCTGCTATAGCTCCAGGAAGAGATCGTGCAGCTCCTGAATGACAGTGGGAGTGTGCTCTGCAGTCCCACCAGAAGCTTCCTGCCAGAGACAGCCAGCAGGAGCCATGTCCACCCCGAAGCCCAGTGGGGTGTGTCCCAGAGTTCCCAGTGAGGAGCTGCCTCACAGCTGAGCACAACCGCAGTACGCCCAGGGCTGGTGGGGTCTGTGAGCCCTTGTGCTAGGCCTCTTAAGCACCTGCCACTCGTCCACGGCTGGGCTTTGACAGTCACTTGCATTCTCTCTGAAGCTCCGGATGGAGACTACTGGAGACTGCTGCCACCAGGGACCCACATCGTCATCGCCCAGGCACCTGGCTACGCCAAGGTCATGAAGAGAGTCACCATCCCGCTCCGGATGAAGCGGGCTGGCCGCGTGGACTTCATCCTGCAGCCCCTGGGCACAGGACCCAAGAAGTTCCTGCCAGCGCTCCGGAGAACTACACCCCACTTCCGGGTCACACGGGGTGGTGTGACCCCCCGGAGGGAACCCGCAGAGCAGAACCCCCAACCCCTTGAGGAGCACAGGCTGCCTGCAGCTGGTGGGAGCAAGCCCTGGTGGTGGTCCTACTTCACATCGCTGAGCCCCCACAGGCCGCGCTGGCTGCTCAAGTACTAGGCCGCTCGCCCGTCCGCATGCTGGGTCCTGGCTCTGGCTCCTCACCACAGCGTCATACAAGCCGTAGCCATTTTATTAAAGGGTTTCTCACCATCTCCTGTGATGAGGGCCTTGTGGGGAGGGAAGGATCTGGGGCCATGGTGAGGTCCGGTCCCAGGATCTATGTTGGCCTTCCCCAGGCCTTGAGGCCTTGAGTTGGCCTCACAGGAGGGAAACTGAGGCATGGTAGGGCAGAGGAGAACTGAGCTCGGGGCCTACACTGAAGGTTGGTGTCCAGGAGAGTTAAGACCAAGGTGGTCATGGATGGGAGGATTAGGGTGACAGGGGCACCCCAAGGCAGGCCAAGGCCCAGGGCCACACTAGAGGCTCCTGCAGGCCCAGCTCTGAGAGACAATCTACCTCAGTTTCTCTGCCATCCTTGGGACACCACTGACTCCTGTCCAGGAACCTGTGCAGATCCCTGTGCTGTGGTCCACCACTGTCACAAGTGCATCCCAGGGTCTGCCAGGCAGGGCCTCATGGAGAGTGTGGGTAGAGAAAGTGCATCTGTCAGCTGGGGCTGTGTGACAAAATGCCCAGCTTGATCAACTCGGGCCCGAGGCCAGAAGACAGATCAGGCATGGCAGCGATGGCCTGTGGCAGTGGCTGCTCCTGTGACCCTCTCTGAATGGCTGTGTCAGGGCCTCCTCTCCTTAGGTGGAGACCTCATTTTACCCATGACTTTGTAGAGACTTTTTCTCAAATGAGGTCTCATGGCGAGGCTCCAGGGTTGACTCCAAGGTGAGCTTGGGGACACAGCCCAGCTCCTGGCCCCTGGAGCTTCCATGGGCCTGTTTGTCCTGGCTGCAAGGACAGCAGTCCTCTGAGGCACTGGTGTCACCACACTGGCTCTGCCCTGCACCATCTCCTGACCACCTGTGCCCACATGAAGGCTGGCCAAGTACACAGCCTGCCAGGGAAGGTGTATGTGGCCTAGGTGGCATCGGAGTGCCGTGGTGGGCATGAAGCCATTTGGACACAGCACAAGGCTTATGCCTCTAGCGTGGCCTGGAATGTGGGCTGCGGGTCCTGGCCCTGTGTTCCTGCAGTGGCTGAGGGTCTCTAGGTTGGTGCTTGGCCCCACTGCGTATGCAGCTCCACACTGGGTCTTCAGACTCCACTGCCCGCTCTGTGAATGTGGATGTGCAGAGAGCTCGCACAGCTCAGCAGGTCCTTTGTGGTGGCCAGGCGTCGCACGGCGCCCTGCAGTGCCCAGCTCTGCCAGCCTGGCCAGCCCTGAAGCCTTCAAGTCCGGACAGCTGAGCAGGGTGCGGCGGGGCAGGCAACAGGGACAAGGCCCCTGCCTGCTCCTGCCTCGTGTCCACCTCGCACTGTGCATGGCCAGTGGGATGCCCTCCACGGTCCCTGTGCCCTGGTGAGAGAACCCAAGTGACCTTTGTGACACCCTTGATGAGTGCTGGGGACTCCCTGTGTGTGCCCCTGGCTCCAATTGCTTCAAGGCACTTCCTGCCTTGAGGCCCGGTGGGTGGACACACTGGAAATGGGTTTCCTTTTAAGGGAAAATGCAGATGGAGGCAGGAGGGTCACAAATTGGGTCCTGCCTGGGGAATTTAAGGAGACTCCCTGAAAAGGGTGGGGATGTGGCTCAGGGGAAAAGTCTTGGGCTCACTTCCAGGACACCAAAGAGGGCTTGGACTCACAGAGTGACTTGCTGTTCCCATCACCCCTCGCAGAGGATTTCTTTTTTTTGCCCCCACCCCCAGGATGCCTTCTGGGCAGGTCTGCTTTGGCTGGAGGATAAGGGGATCGAACCACAGCATCTGGAGCCTGACTGCTTTGCTTCAGCAGGCACTTAAACCCCTGAGCTAATGGGCAGGCCCCTTACCCCTCACTCCTAGTCTGAGGACCCCAGTTTCAGTGTTGGCAGGGCCCCTCATGCTGGGTGAGATGCCCGGGACTCAGCTCATGGCGGTAGCTGTTTGTGATCTCGTGGCTGAGGCCCCTTGGGATGGCAGCAGAAGGCACAGCTCCCAGAAGATGAGGTTCTGCCCTGGTGAAGAACTGACCAGCCCAGGCCCTCAGGGACAGCTGTGGGAGAGCCCCTGGGACCAGACACTTGGGTCTGTGAAGCACAGGCCACTCATGGCTGAGTCCCAGGAGAGGTGAGTGTCTTGGTGCTGAGGCCAGCTGCAGACACTGAGGGACCTCACCAAAAATGCAAAGCAGGAAGCACAGGGCTCAGAGGGAAGGGAGGAGCCTGAGGACAGACGGTGTGTGGGTGCCGGCCACAGGGACACAGGTAAGAGGACGGAGAAAAGGCTTTGCCCTGACAAGGTATTCCGGACCGGAAGCGATCGTGGGCCACAGGGGTGGGTGGTGAGCGCTGGCCTAGCATGCCCGAGGCCCTGGGTTCCATCCCCAGCACTCATGCAATGGAAGGAAGGGAGGGAGGAAAGGAGGGAAGGGGAAAGATGACACCGCTGGATCCGCCCCTGGATCCTGAAGTCGCAGGCAGCCTGACGAAGGACACAGGCTTGATCTCGTAACGCTCCTGAACTTGGAGGAGAAAGAGAAAACCTCATGAACTTTTCTATAATTCAGCCTCTCACTGCTAAAACTACATACCCCAGACAACTAGCCCCGTGAAGACAAGGCTCGTCTAGCTGCCCATCCCGGAGGCCCAGGGCCTGCACTGGGTGGGCAGAGCGCACTGCTGGGAGCATGTCGTGGTGGCACCAGACCGGTCATGCTGGGTCGCTTGCCACCCAGAGCTGAAGGTGTTGAGCTGATGTCTGTGCGAGCACCCAGAGGACCCCAAGGGCCTGCGGGCAGCTGTGGGCAGGCTGGGCTCTCCATGAAGCCGCGCCCAGGTGCCGCCTCCTCCTCCCCCTCCCCCTCCCTCCCTCTTCCTCCTCCTCCTCCTCCTCCTCCTCCCCCTCCCCCTCCTCCTGTCTCAGCCTCCCCAGCGCTGGGATTACTGGCATGCACCACCACACCCGGTTTCAGTAGCCAACACAGTGTGCCCAGGGTTCTGGGGCCGGCACGGCATCGAGTCCTGGGGATCAAACTCTGGACCTTGCCCTAACCAGGTGTTCCGGACCGGAAGTGATCGTGGGCCACACTTGCTGGGAAGGCGCTTAGACTGTTGAGCTATCTCCTCAGCCCCGCATCTGTCTTAAAGATGCCTGCATCAAAACCGGTGGAAAATAGATGTCTGATGTTAAGCGCATGTGCAGGGCGAGTCCGGCACTGTTGGTGAATGGAAAGTGGGCTTGAAGACTGAAAGCGCTGAATGGGAGAGAGGGACATTGTGAAAAATAACAAAGTGGCGTTCGACACCAGTGGACTAAGCAGCTAACCATGCAGGTCTGCACTGCTTGCATGGCGATTTCGTAATGAAAGCAGAGGTCCGGTGGGTCTGCTCGTGCATGCTGGCACCCAGCACTTGAGGGGCTGAGCAGGAGCGTCACCCTGGGTTCGAGGCCAGCCTGGGCCGCAAAGTGAGCTCAAGGCCAGCCTGACCCCATGCAAGATCCTGTCTAACAAAACAAAAAAATAACATCAGAGGAAAGGTGGTGCCAATTTCAGAACCCGACCAATTTAGTAGATGCTGAACAAATAAATCAGGTTCTAGAGAAGCTGGACCCCACGACCACTCAGTACACCCATGAAACTCCGTATTTCAAGTGGATCACAGATGTTTTCAGAGACCCTGCCCGGATTTCAACCTGCAGCAGTGTACTTAGTCACAAAGAAAACCTCAACAGCTAGAGATCTTTTTCTACTCCAGTTCTACACAGAGTAGGAAGCGTGCAGTTTTGCTCCTTTCCTCCGCAGCGTCTCCTTCCCATTCAGAAAGTAAGAAGCAGGTCCCGAGCTTGCTCCCGCTCTGTCTGGGAGAAGAGGCCTTGCCGGCAGCCGTGGGGTGGATGGCCCCGATGCACACTCGCCTCTGATGTGAAGGCCTCTGCTGCGCGCGGCTCGGGCTCCGATCTCACGGCTGCTTGGGCCCAGGGGTGAGAGTCCTGGATGCAGGGGTTCCCCACGGAAGGGGCAGGGCTGGGCCCCAGGCTCACCACCAGCCCTGCTTGCTCCGCATTGGCCAGAACACTGTCACGTGATCGCACAGACTGCAAGGAATGCTGGGAGATGGACTGCTGTTGTGCAGGGAATGGACTCAGGAAGGCAGGTCTGTACTAGAGTCTTGTAGTTTAAAGCGATGAAAACAAATCGACTTATGGTAGAACAGGAGACTGAAGGTAAAGGAAGCGATGGTCCTTCCCAGGAGAGTGTTTTACACAGAGATGGAAGCAGCAGAGCTAAAAGGTGAAATAAAACAGACAGGAAGCAAGCAAGCAGAGCCAGGAGAAAGCTTTCCTAACCCGGGCTGGTTCTTTAGGAAGGCCCAGGGAATTGCCCCACCCTCACCCTCGTGGAAAACAAGGAAAGACTGGGAGAGATTCAGGATAGTTTTAAAGAAAACTTCATATAACTCTTATTTCACCTCATGTAAACCTTCAATAAAATTGAAGGCTGAGATGGCGCGGGGGAAAATGTAAAATGAAGAGGTCACGTGCATAGAAATAGG